TGAGGTCATCCATTTTGGTAGGAATAACAGCAAAATGGACTAGGTTTTAAATGGTAAAAAATTGCAGCACGCTGCTGTGCAGAGGGACTTGGGTGTCCTTGTGCATGAATCGCTAAAAGTAGGATTGCAGGTGCAGCAGGTAATTAAAAAGGCAAATGAAATTTTGTCTGCCATTGCTAGAGGGATGGAGTTTAAGCTACACCTGGAGTACTGTGTGCAGTTTTGGTCTCCTTACTTGAGAAGAGATATACTAGCACTGGAGGGGGTGCAGACAAGATTCACTCGGTTGATTCCAGAGTTGAGAGGGTTGGATTATGAGGAGAGATTGAGTAGACTGGGATTATACTCATTGGAATTCAGAAGAATGAGGGAAGATCTTATAGAAACATATAAGATTATGAAGGGAATAGATAAGGTGGAGGCAGGGAGGTTGTTTCCGCTAGCAGGTGAAACTAGGACTAGACGGCATCGCCTCAAAATAAAGGAAAGCAGATGTAGGACTGAGGTCAGGAGGAACTTCTTCACCCAAAGGGTTGTGAATCTGCGGAATTCCCTGCCCAGTGAAGCGGTTGAAGCTACCTCGCTGAATGTTTTTAAGGCAAGGCTACGTAAATTTTTGAACAGTAAAGGAATTAAGGGTTATGGTGAGCAGGCGGGTAAGTGGACCTGAGTCTCAAAAAGATCAGCCATGATCTTATTAAATGGCGGGGCAGGCTCGAGGGGCCAGATGGCCTACTCCTGCTCCTAGTTCTTATGTCCTTATGTTCTTATTAGTGGAGTGCAGATATCTTGGAGAATTATTGGGTTGGAGAGGCAAAGCCATGGAGGAACTTAGGAGAGAGGGAGGCCATAGGGGAGGTGAAGACCTAGTGATAGCAGGGGGAGGTGACGGCCTTGTGGTATTATCGTTGGACTGATTAGCTAGAGACCCGGGTAATGTTCTGAGGACGCGGGTCCGAATCCTACCACGGCAGATGGTTGAATTTGAATTGAATAAAAAAAATCTGTAATTAAGAACCTAGTGATGGCCATGAAACCGTTGTCAATTGTCGGAAAAACCTATCTGGTTTATAAATGTCCTTTAGGGAAGGAAAGTGCCTTCCTTACCTGGTCTGGACTACATGTGAATCCAGACCCACAGCAATGTGATTGACTCTTAATTGCCATCTAGGGATGGGCAATAAATGCTGGCCTAGCCAGTGATGCCCTCATCCCGTGAATGAATAAAAGAAATTTGAAAACAAGGATCAGAATTTTAAAATCAAGTCATTGCTTGACCAGGAACCAATGTACATCAGTGAGCACAGAGGTGACTAGGAGATAGGAGTGGGAGACGCGAGCAGCTGAATTTTCGTAACTTCTATTTACAGAAGCTCGAACATGGGAGACCAACCAGGAACTCAAGGAAGTAGTCAAATCTAGAGGTAACATTGGTAGGATGAGGGTTTCAACAACAGATAAACTTAGACAAGGTTGAAGTTGAACGAGGTGGAAAAAGGCAGCCTTATAGTCATGGCACAAATGTGATGCCAGAGGTTCATTTCAGGATCAACTGTGACAAATTTAAAATGTTAACTTTCACTCACTTGGATGTAAATTGCCAAGTGTCAAAGACAGTTCACAGTTTATCGACTTAAGGATGAATAATGCTTAATGATTTACGATCAAAAATAAATAATTTGACAATCAAATAGTCCTACTTAACATCCAAGTAAAAACAACCATCGAGCTGAGGGACAGCTTCACAGTTTGCAGTTTCCTGCAACATGCTGTCTATACCACCTGAGGGAGCTAAGAAAGAGCAAAGGGTGATTTATCTGCCATGTAACTTATACCAAAAGCTTTTTCTAAAATGAATACAAGCTTTTAGGCTGTGTCTTAGTTTGAAACAAATTCTCTTGCAGTTTCTTCCAGATTCCAATGGATTAGGTAGGACCTGAAAAGGAGGACGAACACTGGCAGCATGTATTTGGCAAGAGGCCTGAGTTCAAGTCCCACCTGCTTCAGAGGTGTATAATAACACCTCTGAACAGGTTGATTAGAAACTACCTACATTTTTCAAGGAAAGTAATCAAGCAGTATAATAATAGATCAGGGTGACAACTCATCAAGTAAAATAAGATAGATTTCTACAGCCATTGTGCACATGCTCACAACCAAGGTGACTCCAAGTATGCCAACTTCCAAAGCTTTTCTAGAGATTAAGGGCAGAAAATGGTAAATTTTAAACTGTTTAAGGATTTGTAAGTGTTCATTTTACTTTCCTGGTAAGTTTATACAGTTAAATAATAAAGAGGCATGACAGTGCACCTCAGTCCCATTGAAAACATATCTTGTATCCCATGGGAACTTCCTGGTTAAGGAAGGGTCACCACTGAAGACCAGCTGTGAGAACAAGAGTTAGGCAGATAGCAAATATCTGTATGAGGTCACCCAGCAACTTGAGTGCATGCAGACAATGAGGGAACATGTACCCACCAGGCAGTCAAGGAGAGTCAGGCAGATAGTGTAGGAGCTCACCGAGTGCATCTCTGTCTCAAACCAATATTCAATACAAATGCTTGTGAGAATGATAGCTCCTCGGGGAATACAACCAAAACCAAGGCCACCACACCATGGATCATGGATGCCTGAATGGATCATGGATGGTTGAGCTGTATGGTGTTAGAAAGTTAGGGAGGTGAGAAAATTGGGGAAGATTGAAAGGTCAAGAAAGCAGCAGAAACCAGAGATTTAACATTTAGGGAAACAAACTGATGCTTTTGTGGCTTCAGCCATGACTCCAGGATGCCAGAGGGAAAAACCAGTAAGAAAAAAAACAGCAATAATTAGACATGAAAGCACTGGGTATACTGATCCTGGACTCTGAAGTATGCAAGGTGAGTCAAAACAAATGCATTTCACTTACCAGTTTTACAGCTTTTTCCTGCTGCATGGTACATTGCCTCACAGATGCCAGGGTCAAACTAAAAAGCTGCAGAACTTTCTGAGTGAGGTGGGACTGAATAACCAGATGTCACAGTTCATACTGATTCCAATGGTACCAAAACAATGACAGCTTAAATACATGAAAACAAGACTTCCAGATGGGATAGAGAGCATGTTAAAATAAGTTGGTCACAATATCAGATAAAGAAATAATCATGACCATGTGAATGGATATGGTGTCGAAAGGATCATCAGTTGAGGCCATACAGGTTGAACAGAGGAACAATAAAAAAGGCATTGTATTGGTAAGGCTTCTGTCGTATATTTTGCTTTAATAAAGAACATTGGGTAGAATTGACTTCTGTTGTTGATATCCAAAGTAAACCCAACAGACCAGGGCAAGTGAGAATAGAAACCTACAATGATATGTTCCAAGTTGTCAACAAAGCCTTGAGCAAAGCAAGTGTCTGACTCTTCCACATTCCTTGACAATGACCACAGACTTCAATATACCAAACATTTCAATGTACATTCCAATCAGATTTCATCTATACATCACCCTGTAAAAGCCCTCATCTGGGCCCTCTTCAGAACTTGTGACTTCACCCTCTGGAACACTGGAACCTTCACCATCCTTCTTAAATAGCTTGGCTGCAGCACACTAGTCTCATCGCATATAAATTTCAGTCTCTAAGTTTTCTTCCAAAGTACACACTGTGTTGATGTCTGAGCTACTGCCTATGAGTTCGACAGTGAGTGATAGCTCTTCTTCAACATTACTGACTTCCTGTCTTTCCAACTCTTTAGTCAACCATTAGAATCCCTACAGTGTGGAAGCAGGCCATTCAGCCCATCCCATTACCTATCCCTGTAATCCTGCCTTTGCCATGGCAAAGCCACCTAGCCTGCACATCTCTGGTAAGTTGGGTAATTTAAGCATGGACAATCCACCTAACCTGCACATCTTTGAACTGTGGAAGGAAACCAGAGTACGCAGACATGGGAAGAATGTGCAACTCCATACAGACAATTGCCCGAGGCTGGTTTCGAACTCGGGTCCCTGGCGCTGTCAGGTAGCAATGCTAACTAATGAGCCACTGTGCCACGCCTGAACCACTGTACTGCTGATACCTGGCCAGGTTGCAGATCTAGGGTATCCGGAAAAAATAAACTCACAAAGATTATGGTGAAGGGGAAGGTTCTGAGATAGAGTCACTAGACCCGAAACATTAACATTGATTTCACAGATGCCGTCAGAGCTTTTCCAGCAACTTGTTTTCATTATGGTGAAGGGGGTTGGCAGTAATCATAATGAGCACACTTAAACCATGTGTGACCTTTAAATCAGAATAGTTTGTGGAATGAGGAAAATGTGAGAAAGAGGATGAAGTTGTGAGAAACTGAGAGCGCTCAGGCAATGTATTTGCACAAAGTGACTGGCACAGTTGAATAGCTAACTCTTGCAAGATTTGTGTGGAGAAACAACATGTCTGTGACAGTGAGATGAAGCTACCTTAGAAATGATTCATGATTGATTGATAGATAGATGGATGGAGATGTGGTGAATTGAGCAGTGTATGAAGCTAGTGAGTGCAGTTGGTTGATTATGGCATTTGAATGTGCAGTCATTGACCTTTATCATTGAGGTTATTGAACCTCTTGGTGCAGGATTATCAGACCTTTGGGACGAAACTTTTGGCATTCACCACCGTGGATATACTACAGATACCTAGTCCCAGTGTCTTCCATGAATCTGTCTGGAGGACCTCCTGGTCCACTATGGATATATGCATCTCTCTTCCGCTGCATCTCCTCAGCGAGCTCTCAGCTATGTTGTGCTATCATGGTGACTTTCCCAGGTCAAAATCACTTTTATAATGGCTTACACCACTTGTTCCAGCTATAATGCACTTTGCCTTTCAGGAGAGGTGCTCTGGCTTGAACTCACAATTTAGGGTTGGATCGGGGAAGGTGTTTGGTGTTGCACCGGGTGGGAAAGGAGCGGGGAAG